CCCAAAATCATAAATTGGTTAGTATCAGAGAAACAGAGCATTTAGGAAAATGATTATACACAACTTCCCTCTTAACATCAAAGCCCAAATGCAATTTCAGGGCCACTAACCCTACTCTGAATTGTGACCTCTTGTGCTTGGAACAAGCTGCAGGTTCTTGTTGCTTTGATGATCTGGATATTTACATAGCACTACAATTCATCAGCAGAGTTGCGACTTGGTCACAGAGCCATCCTTGCCTAGAGGTGGGATTGTTGCAGGTAACTTTTTGGCTAGCATGCCAGCAGCCATCACTGGTCTGGGGAGATTGGTGAAAGCGTCCTTGACAATTGGTGCAGTCTCACTAAATTCCAGGGCCATACACTCCCCCTGGAGTTCTGTTGCATCATTGTATCATCGGAGAGCCATGGTCAGATTAACCTTATGTACATGAGGAATACGTGAGAATGACTGTAAGTGTTCAAGGCAGCATGCATGCTTCAACACCTGTAAATTTCCAATAATCAAACATTGCATATTTGAAATGTTTCATATTCAATGGTGTGCTGCCTTGACATCTTCTTGTAATTATATAGTAATATTAATATTATTAATATTAATGATTACAAAAAGCAAAACATTATCAATGAAAATCTTGTAATTACCCAGCAAGATCTGCTCTGCATTTTGATTCCAATTAAAATATTTATAAACTAAAATAAAATATCAATACAAATAAAAAAAAGTACCTCTGGTTAGTTATTAACACATTTCTTTAGGAGACCCAAACCAAACCAAACAACAACACTCACGTTTTGTCACCTTGGACTCTGTCAAAAAATAAATAAATTGTTTTTTCCAAAAAAAAAAAATCAATCAATTTGCATCTGTCCTACCAAAAAAAACCAATAGGATAAATAATTAATGTGTATGCATCGATCAAATCACAAACTTCTTTTTTAAAATTTTTTTTTAAAATGCCCAAAAATGCAAAAGCAAGAAGTGGAAGAAGACAAGATAATAATTGGGAAGCAGTAGCTAGGTAAGTATTTTAAGCATGGTGGTGGTTATTGCCCACCACTTGTCGTTACTCTAGTTGTAAAAATAATAATAATAGTAATTTTTTTTTTTTATAAAAATTATATACCTAAATTCTTTTTAGTCATAAACCATCTAATTCACCTTTAAGTGTTCCTACTCTATTGCCTAAACCTTCCATTTTGCATAATGAAAATAAACCTGATTATTACAAAACCATTATTAATTTAAGAAAGAATGTAAATATTCAGATGTTTTTTCAATTATTTTTCAAATACATATATATAATTAACTTTTATTTTTAAAGTTTAATTGACGATCCGCGAATAAATGAGAGAATTGTCGATCAATTTACTATTTAAAAATGAGGGAAATTTAATATTAATTTTGAAAAAAAAAATCTACAGGTGTTCGTTACACCAAAATTTTAGAATAAAAGAAAAACCATTGCAAGTTTCAAATATTTAAAATTTGACACAAGTTTTAAATCTTTATACATGTTTTGAACTAACAAATTTTAACT